TCGGATCATTTTCGGGTCAATGATTTTGGGTCAACTTTCAGATTACGGGTCGGTTCATTCAAGTCGGATCAGAATTTTCCAGGTCTACTTCTATATCATGATAGTATCATCCATTGGCTTATTAATAGTAACCCATTTCACATTTATCAATGGATTGCTTTCAACTAAACCTCTTGTGCCATTTCGTCTTAATAAATAAATAAATAAATAAATACCTCTTTTGCTATTAAGAAGCTAAGGCCCCGTTCTTTAGAGCTGCTTTGCTCTGCTCTGCTGAAATCTGCTCTGCTCTGCTGAAATCTGCTCTGCTCTGCCCTGCTCTGCTCTGCTCTGCCCAGAAGCTCAAAAGAACATGGCCTAAGTCTTACATGAATTCCGATTAAAGTTTAACTCTAACCAAGATGCAGTTAATCTTTTTAAACTTGACTTATAAACTCCAATTGTAAACCCACAAGGCCACGATGTATACATAACTAGCCTTTTGGCTTGTTCGATGCACGGATTGTTTATTAGGTTATTTTTCTTGAAATGTGTTGTATATTTGTGATATATGCATCGGTGTTATTTTAGAATTTAGTTAGGGATATTGCGGGGTATGAAATGACATATTAGATTAAGTTATATTTTAAGTTTAGGAGTTGAAAAGACTATGTTATAGTTTATGTAATGTGCACTAATTAGTTTAATTTTTAGTTTATTACTCCCTCCGTTTTTAAATACTTGCTCCATTTCTATTTTTTGCACTATTCATTGGTCCTACTCTGACTAAAGTTTGTGATTTATACATAAGAAAAAATATAGTCTTGTGGGTACTTGTTGGAATCATCTCAATAAATAGATTATTAATTTTCAATTGTTAGAATTTATACTTATTGGTAAATTAAAGATATTATGATCAAAGATTAGTATCGGCATGCGTGTCCAAGAGAAATGGAGCAAGTATTTAAAAACGGAAGGAGTATGTTGGAAACGATATACTTCATTTTCTCTCTTAAAGTTGCATGTCTCAAAATGCATAAAGACTTGAACATTTTTTATTTTATTTGGTTAAGTATTGACACATAACTGCTATTTACATGGCATGTAAATAGCAGCTATAAGACAAAAGAGTGATAATTTTTTTTCTTTCCCGTGGTACAAATATTGTACCACTATTAGTTATAATGGCTACAAATAGTATTACTATAACAACCTATACTCTAGTAGTATAAATTACATATATAATAGTATATTAAAAATACCACTATAGTCTATAAGTATAACGGTACAATAAAAGTACCAATGAAACGATAAAAAATAAAAAAAAATTATGTGAAATTACCTATTAGACCTTCTATATGTATTCCAAATAAATAGTTGCTATGTGTCTAGTTATACTCATTTTACTTTAAGAACTTATTAAGGGAGGTAACATGTAGTATATGAGTGATAAACTATGGTGACATGTGACTTAGTATATAATTTTGGTTTGTATTTTTATATACTAAGTAAGTAAGTATAGAGTATAGATTAATCTCTAAAAACATACTACGTATATAAATTGTGCTTTGTCAATAAAATAATCCAAAGTTTAACTACAATGTTGTCCAATTCAACAACATTCTTGCACAAATATTTCCAAAAATTCATACTGTATTTGATTTATGTTTTAGTGTCTCCATAAAAGAATAAAGAATTAACCCTTTTTATTGGTATTTTGTAAAAGAGTCACAAAGGACAATAATGTTTCATTTGATCCAAATATTTAACGCCATTTCTTAAATTTTTCACAAACAAATATCCATAAAATTATAAAAGCGCTTATTAGTAATGGGTGATTGTTTATTTTGAAAAAAATTAAAATGGAAAAAAAAATATGGTAATATATACTCTGTATTATATTTTAAGGAAAATGTTATACATAGCCCTAAGGGCTACATATAAGCATTTAATTTACTCTTGAAAATTGTTTAAATTTAGAAAATCATGACAAAAACACACTAATTACACCCGCGTGTTTTTGTCAGGAATTCCTAACTTTATACATTTTTCAAGAGTAAATTCAATGCTTATATATAGCCCTAAGGGCTATGTATAGCATTTTCCTTAAAATGAATTTCTAACTTTATACATTTTGGATCTTGCTAATGAGCACCCCACGGCGTTAAATAAGGTTAAAATATATTGGTTGAAATGGTATTAAGTTAGGAATTCATATAATATAACTTTTGCCTAATTAAAATACAAACTAGTAACTCAGGACATTACCCGTGCTACACAATAATTGTTGATGATTGCGTCACGGGTGAGATCATATGAAATTGATTACTGCTTGTTATTTACTACAACCACTCTATAGTACAAAATGATTGATAATATAAGTCTTTTAGCCTGCCTGTTAGTCGGTTTGTTAGTTTCTTATTTTTGTGGTTTAGTTTTTGTCTATTCATTTATGTACCAATTTATTTATGTATTTTTGTTTTCATCGTACCAATTTATGTGGAGTGGACTAGTGGGGGCTATATAAATATATATAAATTACAAAGTACTATACAACAGCAAATTATGAGTAAACGACGAATCTTTGTAGAATATTACAAAGCACTAAAGAATTTTAGTCCACTTTTAGAAAATTTTAATTTATTGTAAATTTTCTTGTGAAACAATACTACTCAATATGGAGTAACAAACTAACAACCATAACGTCATGTTTTGCACATCAAGAATTTGAATATTCGACTATATACTATTATTAGTAGAAGTTTATTTAATTCTTCGAAATTTCATTTAGGCAATGGGATTTATACCTTGTTTGACAAGAATAATTCCTTGGCCTACAATATTGTGTTTGTCAAGCATCAAAAACTTGCTTTTGGTGAACATTTGATGGGTGACCTTTTGCTTTATTGTCATGAATTATTAATTGTCCTAGGGTTAATTGACCCACTTAATTATTATTATTATTATTATATAATAATAATAATAATAATAATAATAATAATAATAATAATATGTATTTGAATTAAAAATTACTGCAAAATAATTAGAAAGTTATATTGTCAAGTTTAGATAATAGACAAAGGGACTATCAAGTACGGAGTATCAAATTTAGGCCTGTTTAGTTCATATGATTTTTGCTTATCCTATCGGATCTGATCTGGTATGCTCTGATATGGTCTGGTCTGATATATTTTTATTGTCTGATTTGACCTTAAGTGTATGATAATCGGTAAGATGAAAATGTATCAAGATCTTGTTAGATTTGTAATAATGTATATTGTATTAATATGTAATTTTCATAATTAATTTTTTTCATTACGAAATTAAAGATATTTAGCGATAAAAAATTGCACATAAAACGATGATCTGAACTGAGCTTATTTTTCCTGTTCAAAACTTATTTTTTCTTAAATAGGTAAAAATAACGTGAACTAAACAAAGCCTTAAGGCCTGTTCACATTTACTGAACTGAATTGAATTGATTGGAGCTGAATTGAATTGATTCGTCTAAATGTAATATTATACATTTATACTACCAACTTTTTTATATATATTTTTAAATAATAATTAAAAATATTAATGGTTAAGCTTATCGCCAAACATAAAAGTGAAATTGTTGCAAGTTTTATTGAAAAACACTACTACAAAGTATTAAAAAATATATACTACCTCTGGTCCAATTTACTCGCAATAAAGGAATATTTTATGTCTCACAAATAATATCCCTTTGTTGCGAGTAAATTGGACCAGAGGTAATATTTTTTATTAAAAAAACTCAATCTCAAGCATAAATGTTTTTAATACTTTGTAGTAGTATTTTTCAATGAAAACTGGCTTACATCAACTATGTCCAAACCTCAATCACAGGAACAAGATTTATTTATCTAATTTTAAAAGCAATGTCTAAAAAATACTAATAGAACTTTTCACATTCTAGACAACATAGCTTTGTGCTAAAGGAGAGTTTGATCTGTTCTTTTTTTTTTTTTTTAAAAAAAAAAAAAAAAAAAAAAAAGAAGAGAGAGAGAGAGAGAGTGTTTGATCATACACAATATTATATTGGCCATGGGTTAAGTGTGACCCAAATTTCATAACCACACGTTGTTAGGAAACGAACAAAAAAATAAGTGTTAGTAATTTTTTTTTCTTCGAAAGGCAATGGAATTTATTACTCTAATAAATTAGTCATATGACATCTATCATACAAAGTAAATCAAAATTAACATATACATAGAAAATTAAATCAAACAAAGGTTCTTTCATCAAAATTACAATCATTAAATAGATCTTGCACTGTATTATATATTTCTGTACACATTGACATAAAAATGGAATATACAACATTTTTTACAAAACAATCTAGCATTTGTTGTATTCATATGGATGAATTCTATGTGATTCATTTGAACCTATTCGAAATTTTATTAACCATTGCAATCCCAAACAACTCCATACAAACTACCCAATTTCAATTCAAGGCTAAACTTGAGAAACCTTTCAATTTAAGGCAATTCAGTTTACTTAACAAGAAGTTTTTTTTCATTCATGGTAGCTATTCCCTTGCAGCCTTGCTGATGTAGAATTCTTTTAAGAAATACCTCGACCTTGTTCTTGTGGTCATGGATGGTTAGGACATAATTCATCCAAAACATTAAACATGTAAGAAACTAAAAAGTTAAATACGAAAAATAAATAAACATTTATAATACCAATCGACTTATATTTTTATCATAAATTCGCAAACTTATACAGTACCGTTTAAGGAAATCCAGTTAGTGTTTACATGCATCATTAATGGTTGCATGCTAAACCCACCTTTAGGCATTTAGGGATTAGAAAGTAGAACACAAGAATATTTAACCAATAAGTAAGAGAGCTATATGGTTTGAGCTGAAATCACAATTACTAGGGAACTTGTTTTGGTTTTTAATACACAGGTGCTGCGAAAAAACAAATGAAATGAAAAGACAAGTCGGTGTGGCCGTGTGGGTATATATAGTCGCAAACTTGTTTCGTATGCATTACTGAAAAACGTACTCATACATACATCATATCCTAGATTTTCAACATGAGTTACTGATATAAGTCTCCAATTTTTACAAAAATTTCGTAAAACTGATTCAAGTACGACACATAAAATCTCAAAATCAAGACCAAGAGCTGGGAACCAAGAATGGTAGCCAAATGACATGGTTTGCATCAAACATGATGACAGAACCAGCATCCACCAAGACTAAAAAATGCTAGATATCACGCGTAACATTAGCACAATTTCTTTGCGGTCATTAAGATTGATATAAATGTAGGGAGTAAAGGAAAAAAAAAACCAACATTTGATCCTCTAATATAATCTCATCATAAAATGCATGAACTTGGAACATTGAGTCAGGGGCTCAGGGTACTTCCATCTACCTAAAATATTTCAAGCAAGCTTGCCTGTTATCAATGGATTTGTGTCTTTCCACTGATAATATCTTTGGCACAAATTCTTTAGTGTGGCGACTGAATGCTGCATGCTATTCAGCTTTGTATCCCTAAACATCCTCTGTCACAGAAAAACAAGTTTGTGAGAACAGAGAAGAATGGATGGCAGGCATTAGAAATGGTACAAAAGCAAGCACACATGCATACCTCATAATCATCTCCATACTTCTCAATTAAAGGAAGAAGATGAGCACGCTGCATAGTCGTCAATGGCTGTGATGGTACTTTTTTACCATCCCTTCTTTTCTTCCCAAGCGCTGATTTCAAATCTATATACAATAAAGATTGAACTACATTATGTGCTGATGGTGAGTGATTTTCTTAACCACAAATCAATAATACTGCAAATAGAATACACGCTGCAAACAACATGCTTGCCCAGTGTTTAGCAGACTTGCGTTCTATGGAAGCTAGTATTAAAGGACGACATAAAACATCAGGATAATAGAGGGAAACAAAGTTATATCCAGTTACTTGTTATCAGTCAACAGGAGGGAAGGAGGTAGTAGACTTGTAGTGTACGCTTCCGGTAATTACAAACATAATACTATGATCCCATAAACACCAGGCATTCAGATAAAAAATTAAAAATACCATAGCAGTGTCTATGCATCATGCATTTACAGTTGCCTAAAAAAGTAAAAAAGGATAAGATTTAAAACAATCAATTCAGTGCTGAAACAGGGTGTCCTTATCATTCAGCATCCCAAAGGCTACAAGCAATTGTAGATCTATCAAGACCCATCCTTGACTTAAAGCAACCAATTTATTCCACTTAAATTAATGATATACTTCATCTGTTTTCTTTGTATTATTATATAAATTGACTTTTACATTATTAGTTATTGATTCTATAATGGAAACAATTTATTTTATTTTATTTTATTTTGATGCAAATGAGGTAAAATGTTATGGACTAGTGTGAAGGTATATATTCAATATATCAACTTTCATAAAATTTAACCAAAGCTATGAGTAGGCAAACATGTTAGCCAATCTGTTGCAATTTTAAGGGAAGGAGAAATTATTGTAATATGATTGCCTAAAGTCCTCAACCCAACCTAATCTCATCGGAATATAGTCTTAAAGCAATCTAACCCGTTAAATGTAGCCTAAAATAATATAGAATGAAACGTATGTTGTTTCTGTAATATTAAGTTCAGCTAAAACAGAATTATAATTATTATTTTTTTTAAATAAATTACATGAATTGCTTCGATTGCTCTCCTAATTTTCTGAATTTTCTTTTATAAATTTGGTAGAAGTCTAAAACTAAAGAGAGCATAGTCCAACAGGCCACTGAAATTCAAATCACTCAGCATAAGCAATTATCAATCAGCCCTCTGAATGTGTTTGTGACTTTGTGTGTATAGATTGCATGATTCATGATGGGCAGTATTTCACACCTCTAAGTTTCCAACTCAATATTACCAATCTTGTAGCACGAGATAGTGTTCCATACAGCGTTTAACAGGCGGACACCTATAAAGCTGCTGACTTATTCTACTTCATAGGGAAATCCAACCAAGCCTATCCTGAAAATAGTGGCAAACAGCCCTAGTGCATGTTTTGTTAGATGTCAGGGATGCAAGTCCAAATTGCATAGAGTAAGGGCTCATGGCGGTCAACTAATAGTGGGCTTAGTCTGACACAGTCCACAAATGGCCATCACCAAACAGCTGTCAATTGGACAAGAAATAGTAGCATAAAAAAGCAACAAGAGATATGGCTCCTAAGCTCTTAACAATACATGTTTTTCTATATCAAGACTCCATATATTACTACCTGCTAAGCAGTTGTCAAGTAATGATTAGCTCAGCTAATCACTCATAGAATTTTATGTACAGATCAACATCATGTATACAATAATAAAACCATTGATGTGCAAAAGAGACTACTCATCCATATGTCAAATTTACAGCTGAACACTTCAATCCCTATTTCAAATGAATCAGGTGCAGCAGGAAACAGCAAAGCAAATTTACTTGTCATTGCCAGATGACTAATCATGACTAATCTCTATTGATTGTGGCCTAAGAGAAAGATTTTTACCACCTTTAAATTAGAGGACTGGAAACAAAAATAATAAGCATCTAAGGATGTTTACGAACTCTAAAAGTTTAGAGTGGGAAAGCAGAAAACAGAATAATTTGCAAAAGACTAATTAAGAACAGCTGAAAAGGATAACATGGTCTACACTTGTTGCAGCAACTTATGTTGCTTGCTCGAAAAATTTTTAGCAATACATATTACTACAATGTTACAGAATATAAGTAACAAAAAGTTTGAACTCGGGAGTGTATGCCTCCTTAATTCAAGGGAAACAAAAAGAATCATGTTTATGAAAACGGAGAGGACATAGAATCAACTCCTTATACATTGTCATGCCGCAGCTTACAGGGCTAGAAGCTGTTTGAGATCTCTACATGACAATATCTCAAAGATTATCCATAGGTCTCTCCTAGTGTATAGACCATACAACGTTTGGGAATCTATACTTGGTATTTAAAAACACAAACCACAAATTTTTCACAAGACACATGTCATTACAAGTCACTCATTACCCCATATGCTACATGTCACCTCCCTAAATAATTTTGTTTAATGCTTTATGCATTCTACAAATTGAAATTCAAGGAAGAAAATGAAGTGTTTCATTTCCACCATAATTAGTACACATTACATATACATATGAATTATAATAAAAATTGTCTTTTCATCCCCTAGACTAAAAATATAACTTAAACTAATATATCATTTCATATCCCATAATCTTCACATATATATATATATATATATATATATATATATATATATATATATATATATATATATATATATGTATATATATATGTATATATATATGTATATATATATGTATATATGTATATATATATATATGTATATATATATGTATATATACATATATATAGATATGTATATATGTAGGGGGAGGCTCTCGTGAGAAATTTTCTTATGTGAGAATTTTTCTTATGTGAGAACACTCTTTATGTTCTAAATTTTTACTCGTATGTTCTAAATTTTAAATCTGATGTTCTAAACTTTTCCTTAGGTGTTCTAAATTAAATCAAATGTTCAAATTTAGTACTCACATGTTCTAAACCATAAATTAGTTAAGTTTAATATCATAAATTTTAAATAACTTGTTCCAAAATTTTAACTTATATGTTCTAAATTTTAAAATGTGTGTTCTAAGATTTTTAATTATATGTTCCAAATTTTAAAGTGTATGTTCTATTTTTTTATTCGTATGTTTTAAATTTTTTACTCACACTTTCTATATTCTATATCAGTTTGTTCTAAATTTTTATTCACATGTTCATAATCTTAAACAGATGTTCTAAATTTTACTCATATGTTTAAAATTTCATAAAGTAGATTTTATAAATTTTTAATCACTTGTTCTAATTCTTAAATCAAATGTTCTAAACATATTACTCAGATGTTCTAAATTATTAATTAGATGTTCTAAATTTTAATTTCAGACACATGTTCTAAATTTTTACTCGTATGTTCTAAACTTTTACTCACATGTTCTAAATTTAAAATCAGTTCTCATATAAGTATGAATTCTCACATATGAACCTATTCTCACCGGATCCCTCCCCTATATATATATATATATATATATATATATATATATATATATATATATATATATATATATATATATATATATATACCTAACCAAATTCCTTTGTCTTCTTTCACAGTTTTACTCTTGACTCTTTTTTTTTTCTTTTAAATTTTAGCAATGAAACAATTACTTCGTATATTGTATCAAAAGTTTCAACTTTTAAAAAGCATACCTATATATGAAAATAATTAACCCAAGTAACAACCCGTGCATCGAACGGGCCAAAAGGCTAGTTTAGATGCATATGAATTTCCTTCAATATATATGAAAATAATTAACCCAAGTAACAACCCGTGCATCGAACGGGCCAAAAGGCTAGTTTAGATGCATATGAATCTCCTTCAAAGTACTTGCATCCCTCAGGCCCTAGCATGATAATTCATCATTCTTCGGATAGCATTAAAAAAATGCAAGTATTCATTGCATTTTGTTGTATAAGACTATAAGGTTTTCCTTAAATCAGGTAGATGAACCATTTCTTTCTGACAGACATTGTACGAAAAGAGGCAAATACACAGAGCATCAGATCATTGGTTGATGAACCATCTTTACATCCCAAATTCTCAATCATCTTAAGGATAGGAAGCTAGTCCAAGTAAGTGCAATACCATTTAATTATAAATTCCATCCATTAAGACCAAAAGCAACCAAGATGCTCAGAATGCTCAAACACCCCCCCCCCTCCCCCCTCCTTCGTCCCCTCAATCTCTTAAATCACTCTAACAAGCTCATGATTGTATGGAATCCCTAGTCAATCCTAAAGTCATCAAATTTCAGCCATAAGACATTTCATGTAGCTCTTGAACCAAAGTCATAATAAATATAAGTCTTATCTGCTTGCTTTCTCTTGCTAATATTACTACCAGTAAATGTCTAAAGTAGATTCAGTGACAACAAAGCATCTTAGCGGTCAATACCGTCCTCAATATAGTTTAATGGGGCTCAAGTTGAATCAATCAACACTTCCAACAATGAAACATTACTATAACCCAACCAAAGACCTCCCTCATGCTCACAAGAAGCATTCGAAACATTACTATAACCCAACCAAAGACCTCCCTCATGCTCACAAGAAGCATTCGAAACATTACTATAACCCAACCAAAGACCTCCCTCATGCTCACAAGAAGCATTCGAAACATTACTATAACCCCAACCAAAGACCTCCCTCATGCTCACAAGAAGCATTCGAAGGATCCATATTTCTACACCACAAACACCCTCCCCCCCAGGCCCTCCAACCACCAAAACTGTATAAGCAGAACATTTTTCTACAGGCTAGGACTCGCCGTGAAACTGCCGAAAACAACCAGCCGGCGAAAAGCTCGAAAAGGCCAAATCATGAATACCATGATAACACTTACAATTTTAGCCAAACCCCTCATATACACTAAACTCCTCTCATACCTGTTTCTCAAATAAACCAAACAACAAGAAGCAACAAATTTTACACACCAAACCTAACCTTACAGAAACCAATAAATCATTGAACAATAAAAACACATAAGTTTCAACTTTCAACCACCAATACAACAATGAGCTTTGAAAATCATGCCTAAAATTCCAACAAATAAATAAAATCAAACCCAAAAAATTAAGAAATACCCACAAAAATTAAGCAAAACCCAGGAAAATTAAAGAACTAACCGTCTTCTTCAAGGTCACTTCCTGAATCAACAGGCTCAAATTCATCAACTTTAGCATCAGCAGGATTATCAGGACGAGGAGGAGGAACCTGAAGAGAATCACTCTCGATCATATGGGAAGTGCGAGAACGAACACTGAGAAGATTAGGGTTAGAAACAACCCCAAATTGCTTGTAATTGCTGATAACACTGCCCTGTTCGTCCCATTTAGTGCCTAATGGGTCGATCAAAGCACGAAGTTTAGGGGGCAGATTGAAGGCTGGTTTAACGATTTTAGGGTTCTTCTTTGGAAGTCCTACTTTAACCTTATGAATTCTTGATTTTTTGTATTTTCTTCTTGATCCCCCCATTTTTGTGGGTTTTGGTGGTTGTGTTGCTAAGAAAGGAGACGAGGGATTGAGGGTTTTAGCGAGGGTTCTAGGGCAACTAAACCTAAATTACATCTACTCTAGGTCAAAGGATTTATTGAGATATAAATTTGACTATTAATATTCTACTCTAGGTCAAATGATTTATCGAGATATAACTTTGACTATTAGTATTCTACATTAGGTCAAATAATTTATTGAGATATAACTTTGATCATTAATATTTATAATTGCCTATTAGTAGTAGTAAAAATTAAAGGAAAATGCTATAAATAGCCCTTAGGGCTACATATAAATATTAAATTTACACTTGAAAATCGTAAAAAGTTAAGAAATCATGAAAATATAAACACTAATAACACTGATTTACGCGTATTTTTGTCATAAATTCCTAATTTTATACAATTTCCAAGAGTATATTTAATGTTTATATATAGCATTACCCAAAATTAAATTATGGAAATAGACATGGTATATGTACTAATCCGTGATACATTACACAATAACATATATTCAGCTTATAATAGTAAGAAAATTAAGTCAATTAAAGTATGTGAATAATGCATAAATGAAAGTAATGCAAATATTGAGGAAGTCACTATAACAAATTGACTCTTGTGCCACGAATTATGTCACGGGAATACAAAATTCGTGGCATAATTTGAGCTTGCCACGGGAAAATATAGTTAACCAAAATACTTCAAATTTCCATAAAATATTATGCCACGGGAGAAAAGTATTCGTGGCAAATTGAAACTAGTGCCACGACTTTTTTTTGTTTCCCGTGGCAAACGAACACTTATGCCACGAGTAATTATGTTCTCGTGGCAAATTAACACTTGTTCCACGACTATTTTATTTATGTGGCAAAAAAACACTTATGCCACGAGGTATATTTTTTACCATAGCACCAAAACACTTGTGTCACGTTAAAATTTATTTTTGTGGCATACATATATTAACTCAAACTAGTAACATTCCCCAAAGGAAAATAAAATTAGACTAATGTCCAAAATTTTACGGAATTATGATTTTATTCGTGACTAATTAGTTTTAATCATGAGATACATACAATATAAAATTTCTATAAAAGTTCTATAAAACTCGACTCGATTATAAGCACCCCAAATTAGGCGGCCGACTAACCAAAAACAAAAACTGAAGAGGCTCTTCCCATATACTCCGTACGTACTACTCCATGTCAACATTCAGATAAATGAGGCTCTTCTCCCTCCAAGAAAAAAAATCGCAGAAGTTGATCGTCCATGGCGTCTAAGTCACCGTCGCAATTCATCCACCATTTCGCCGCCACGACACCTCTTCCCAGGTTAGTTTAAACGCTTGACTCATTCTTCTTCTACAATCCTTTCAATCTTACTCTTCCTGTAATTTTCCAAGTGCAATTAGGGTTTTAATTGATTTTATTCTGGGTTCCATGGCTTAATTGAATTCGATCTATTTTAAATCATTCGTAATTATTATTAAAAAAAAAAACCTCATTCGAAATTGATTAATTATACAAAATTCCCTAATTATTTTCAATGGTAAAAATCTCAAGTAGGATTGTTCTAACCCTTTTATTCTCCATTAGTTGTTCGACATATAATTTCTATTCTAAATGGCAAGAATTAATTTACAGTTTGCTAGTTTCCATTGATGGAGAAAGGATTTTTTTTAGGCTATTGATTAATCAAAACTTTAGTGTCAAAATAAGCGAGCAAAATTCATCACTTGGGTGCTTTTTAAACTTAATTAATTTTTAAAGGGCTACTTTTATCAATGTTTTTGTGGCTGAATTAGGTGTTGCTCAAGTGGTGGAAGATGAGGCAGATGTTGATGTTGTACTGTTGAGGGTTTAACAATGACCCTATTTTGTGAAAAAAGTATTGATTTGTTTATAAATGAGAAACCCAGGTCTAAGGATTGAAAGAAATACCTGTCTTTTGGGGAAGAATAGAAAAAATACAAGGGTAGATTATACAGTCGATGTCCAACCCGAGCTGATATGGAGACTGATCCTGTTTTGAAGAGGAAACTCAGCTCTTTGGGTAGAAAAGTTAATAAGGTAACCACTTTTTATTACTTTCTCAGCTGATTCGGGTTATTATTCTATTTGTTTACAAATATATAAGTGTCTTTAAAGGTTATTAAAACAAATAAATAGTACTACATTGGTATTTTGAACTGTGTACAGAGTAGGTTGTTGATATTGCAAGTGACTGATAGTTTCCAAATTGTTTTTTAAGTAAGTTTAAGTAGTAAATTCTATTGAGGCTGAATTTTTCAACCTGTGGCCTAAACTCGGATATGGAAAAGAGGGGAATGAAATTGAAGTTCTCGTGTTGGTCTGGCTATAGATAATCATTGTAATCATGAATTTTACTGATACAAAAGTTGTTTAGCTTCTTTGGATAAATCAATCCCATTACATGTAAACCAAATGAGTAGGACATATTGACTTGATGTTAATATTAGCTGATATTTTATCTTTGCATAGAATTTTTCTATAAATTTTAATGTCATCGAGAATGAGCATTGCAAATTGATGATGAACTCAAAAGGTATACTTATCTTTTGAACGAGATAAAAGATAGTCCTACAGATAATAATGCAGTTGTTGCTAAGCGGCATTGAGACTTCAATGGAGAGTTCTTTCACCACCCCGCATACCTTCAACAGACTTATGACAGCTTGGAGGATTGTGATGTTAATGAAACGATAATTCATTTTTAATAGCGGTCAGTATGTGCTTGAGGTGGAATGTGTTGGTTTCACACTTTTGATAACATTGTGGATGCTTGATTCCAGGTTGCCAGATTGGTTTTTCTATGGAGATGATGAAACTTGGCTAATAGAAATGATATGCTTATGAGTTATGACCCCAATTACTTGATATATTCAATAAATTATGAACAATTTTATGAATAAAATCCTTCCTTCTTTGAAACTTTTCTTTTGCACCTTAGATATAATCAGATAAGTCATAAAAGTGGCATTAATAAGTAGGAGTTCTTAATAGTTCTTTGCTAGTAGGTTGTCAGCATTAAATATCTGTAAATCGAAACAAACCCACAAATAAACACCCCTATAAGGTTTTTTTGTCCTGTAGAAATTTTGTTCTAAAGATATTGATGAATCCCTAGCTTTTGACTTATTACTCTACTTGCTTTTAACTTCTGATCGATGTTGCTTCTTAATTCTTACCAGTCCTTGAGTTTAAGAATGATTAGTAGGAGATAAATTTGACTTGAATCAAAGATTATGGTGCTGGATACAAGGGACTAATAGGGTAATGTGTAACTATGCCAGGAATCAAGCTAACATGACCCTGTGTGTGAACATCATTGTGAACAAAGATCATAGTTTATTGATTTTAATGAGAATATTTTTATCTTTAATCCTTTTTCATAATTGTTACAATGGCTAAGTAAATAATGAAGAGAATGTTCAGGTTTGTTGTGCTCGCACTAGCTCAAGTTTACTTGTTTTAGAAGTGTATAGATTTTGGTTAATATCTTAAGGTTGTTTTAAGATATACTTCCTATGATAGATCTCTTAAAAATAGGACAAACTTTTTAATTGGTGTCGTAATCTCAAGGCCTGAGTGGATCTTTTGATCGTATTTATTTGCACACAACTATTCTGGATCGACTGATTTAAAATCACTCACGGTTGTGCTTGTACTTCCACAAACAACTATCTTTGGGTCTACAGTTTTATGACATTTTATGCATGATATTGATGCTTGTTTTAAACACTTTCCCATGCCTTAGAGCCCTGCTTCACATGCACACAAGTACCCCACTGCAATGATAAACCTGGCTTGTATGCATGTTTGGTACAGGGAGGGAGGGTGGGCAGGTGTAGGGGAGGGGAGGGGGGCAGGTGCAGGGAGGGGCTTCCGGGTGTAGTGCAAGGAGGGGTACAATGCAGAGAGGGGAGGAATGCAGGAAGGGGGCAGTGCAGGAAGGCAGACAGTGTAGGGAGGGGATGTAGTGCTGGGAGGGGGTAGTACAGGGAGTGTAGGGTTCTTCACTCAGGTATGTCTGTTTTTTTTTATTGACGAGAAAATATTGTATGTTAATTTGATTTGAAAGTTTTAATAATATGTGAGATTAACATAAATTGCATATGTATTGTGTCAATTTGACATTTTCGTTTTAGAAACTTATTGACTTGATTTTTTTTTAATTCATTGTAGGTAAAAAGGCGCGGAGCACAAATGTATTGTGACATTCTTTTATCCTTATTTAGCAAAAGGATTTGAGTTTTTTTTTAAGTTTTTTAAGTGAGCCAGTGATGAGACAATTAGACAAGTAATTTCTAGTACATTTGTATGTTCAGATACAAATTTCTAGTATATTTGTATGTATGGAGTATCAGACATCAATTTGATATTTTTTTTTTTGTGTTATATATCTATTTCAACAACCATGAATGTGATGACTTGAATGAAAAAAAAAACATTTTAAATATACAGTTACGCGTATACTTTATATGCTACAACAAAAGCGTATGCCTTCTGAAATTGGTAGCCAGTGTAATCATTAGTGATAAAAGATTTTATTTGCACAGTATTATCTGAGGCAAATGTAGCTAATTAGCCACGATAATATTTGTGGCAAAGAAGCTTAGTGGCCACGGTAATGTTTGTGGCAACAAGTAATTAGCCACGGTAAAATATGTGGCTAAGAGTTTGTTAGCCACGTTAATATTCGTGGCAAGTGTTTTTTTAGACCATGTGAATGTCCGTGGCATAAAACTCTTAATATGCAACGACACTAGTTTTCCCGTGGAAAATTTCTAGCCACGGCCTCCTGTGCCACGGGAGAAAATTTCGAAATTCCCGTGGTAAAATTGCATAGCCACAGGAAATTTAAACTTATGCCACGATTTTTCACGTGGCACAAAGGTTAATTTGTTGTAGTGAGTGCCACAAATGAGCATGTCTTGATGCTAAAGTATTATAAAGTAGTACTACTTATTTATTAAGTTTTCATAGTCTAATTACACAAATATGTAGATGAGATTCAATATCCGAATTTGTGTATCAGCCCAAAGACTTAAGCAACTAAAAACTTAACGTATACTTTTTTTTTCCTAATAATATCCAATGTTAGAAATTTCCAAGCATGTACTTTATATTTTGTTAGAAACTTAATATTGTTGGATGTTCAATTAAAACTAATAGATTAATGAATACGAAGTAAATTTTTTATTTTATGGAAAACGTATGAGTCGAAGGAGATGAATTTTTTTTTGACACATAATAATAAGCCAAGAATAGGTACATTGTTTCCTTAAAATAAAATAAAAAAATAAAGTATAGATACATTGTGGAAGGATTGTTATGTAATTTTTCATGTTGCAATAACTTCCATACAAAACATTTGACATCTATACTTTTGGTATTAAATTTAAATCTCATATTTTAAAGGCTCTCAAATCATAAAAAGTATTATGTGAGTCAGACACACAGTGAGTTGACCCACACATTATCTTTTCAGTTGTCACATCATCATCATTAACAAGAAGATCATTACAACCTACAATCAACCAATTTTTTTTCGCTCGATAAAACCCTTTTTTCAATCCCAAATACAAGCTTTAACCTCTTAGTTTTCTTATTTGTCGCAAATAATTTCTCTCCTAACTCTTCACACCCAATCCTTTACTTAGGGGCTTCGCGCTTAGTTTCTTTGTTGGTGAGTATAGTAGCAATTTTCCATGATCCTTCTTAGTGTCTGTAGGGAATATTTTAAGCATTACCCCAAACTTGAACCCCACTGTGATCATACACTTAAGTACGGCGGCGTCCAAAGGGAAGGAAGATAGAGCAAAAGAGTCGCCAACAAGTTTTAGGAACTTGTAAACCGTTCACAGGGTGAAGGTTACACCCCTTAACGATTCAAGACATCGTTAACTCCAATAGGTCTGGAACCAAGACTAGAAGTTCGGGGATGAAGGTAAAAATTCAATCTAAAAGAGAAAGAACCTGCCCTAATAATAAGCCTCTACTTTATTCTGATCGTATTCATGCGCGCTTTCTGACTAACATGCAATCATTAGGTTAACCCTAAACCTGTTTATCTATGTTGGTTGAATATTAATGCACAAATAAATCTATTATTGGCGATCACTTGAATTATAATTAAATTAACCCTAATCAAGATTATTAATTATCTTATTAAGCGTGATTACAAGTACAAATTCCCTTTAAACATGCATAAAAGGCGTGATCAAGCAATAATAATAAAATAAACTCAAGCAACATAATAATCAATAATAATAATTATTATAATCAACAATCATCATCATACATCATAATCATAACAATTATAATTAAAATCAATGATCATCATCATTAAAATAATCATGTTAAAGCATAATAATAGCAAGATCCTAGGCATGATACTAACAAGATTAATAACAAACCCTAGCATGTCACTAAACAATAAAAATCAAAGCTTTAGCCCTAACATGATACTAACATGAATATTAGGAAGAAAATAGGAAGCATCGCAGGAATCACAATTGTCATATTTGATATTATAACCTTTTCCCTAAACATAATACTAGGAAGATCAAAACACCCTAAAGGATACTAGGAATCATAATAACAGCCTAGACATGATTTCTATATCATAATATCAATAAATCAATTAAAACACTTACTTGGATGCCTCGTACCTCTTTCTAATAACAAAATACACGCGTTAGTAACTTCAAGGAAAGTATAAAAAAATAAACAATTAAATTAAATAATTAAAATAGAGATTAGAGACCAAACCCTTAGAAACATCAAACCTTTCATGTCTAGGGCGAAGGCAACTTTGAACTATGCTAGGTGAGTCTAGATCTTGTGAATGCGGAATTTTGTGTGCAAAAGGCTAGTTTAGAAAAGAGAGAGAGTAATCAAGAGATTCTTGATGAGAGTTGATGATGGAAAACGGAGGTTTTAGGAGGCTATTTATAGAGAAAATCAGCCGAATATATATGATAAAAAAACGAATCAGAGTTTCGAAAAGAATAAAACACGACCGTAGTACCAAACACGCGCCTGTCGCCAAATGACAGACCTGCCGCCAGACGCCAGGTTTGTCGCCAGGCGACAGAGTTGTCGTATGGCGCTGGAAATAATTTTCCACGCGTTTTCTTATTTTGATAAAATTTAACCGTACGAGAGGGAAAAATCGTATTTTCCTTAAAAACACTTCTTTTATTCTGATTAAAACTTTTAAAAGTCAACTAAAGTGAATTTATCAATGCTAATTAAATTAGTATTCAAAAGAACCTTCTAGAAGAATCTAGAAGACTATAATCAATTCTAATCGCATTAGGAATGATAAATCAATATTAGGCCCTCCTCTAGATCATTGGGCCGCATATAAATATCCAACCAGGCCTAGTTTAGTAATTTGGCCATAACTTCCTCATTATTCATCGGAATTGGGCTTATAATATATAGTTGGAAAGCTCTTTTCAAACCTGACCCAACTACACCATTTTTGCACCATTTCCATGGACCAAACCAAACTAGATTGGATGTTTTCTTAAAATAGGTTTTCAAAAACAAAGAGAAAGAAAAGAAATAAAACTAACCGCAACACTAGACTTTCCACACTTTCACTTCATTCGATTATGATTCGACGTGAAAAGTAATCATCACCGGGTTTGGTTTTGGGGAGACACAAATGGGTGTCTACAGAAGCCCCCACTTTGACTGAGTTTGGAGAAACGCAAGTTTCGAAAACAAAAGTCAAAGTATCGATAGGGACGGAGAATGACTCAGAACGTTATGCGATCTTAAATCATTCTTGTAACGCCGATACCTGCAAAATAGCGTTAGTTAAAACAGATAAGAGAGTTAAGAAACGCGTATCTTGCACCGTCGAGCACACGTCTCTGTAGTAACAGATTTGTTGTTGTTGCTTTGTTGTTGTTGACAACCCTCCACAAGCTAGGGAACGCCGTCGATCAATGCTGCTACATCTCGAGCCTTTTTCTTGAATCATAGTGACAACCTTCCCAATCATAGCAAAAGTCATCGAAGACCGCCTCATCACGAACCGCTATTCTCACATCTTGGTGACAACCTCCACAATCTTAGCGAATGCCGTCGAAGACCGCCCATCTCGTGCTATCTTCTCAAATCTTGGTGACAACCTCCACAATCTCAGCGAATGTCGTCGAAGATCGCCCATCTCGTGCGATCTTCTTAAATCTTGGGTGGTAACCTCCACAATCTCAGTTAATGTCGTCGAAGACCGCCCATCTCGTGCTATCTTCTCAAATCTTGGATGACAACCTCCACAATCTTAGCGAATGTTGTCGAAGACTTCCCATCTCGTGCTGTCTTCTCAAATCTTTGGTGACAACCTCCACAATCTTAGCGAATGTTGTCGAAAATAACTTTACTTGAAGTTATCCTCAGTTGTTGCGATAATACTCCGAAGAAAATCACCGAAGACCAACGCTTGTCGATCTTTAAAGCTCGCTTGAACTTGCTTTAGCCAGTGCGTCGGCGCTTCTGCTGCTTGTAAACTAGTATGTCGGTGCTTTGAATTGTGAACCTGTATGCCAGTGCTTCTGAACTAGTATGTTGGTGCTTTGAATTGTGAACATGTATGTCGATGCTTCTGTTGTTTATGAACCATTATCTTGGTGCCTTTGCAATGAGCCAATGTTTAGGTGCTTTTAAGCTAAGTGAGACGATTTTTTGTCAGGTTGATCACTTATTGCGATTGTAATCAAGCCGAATACTCAATCATGTCAAATTGCTTATAGGGGTTATCTGGCGTACCAAGGAACCTGGAAATTGCTGCACTTGGTCCGCATAGTCTAATATGGGGGCGACGCATTGTGTCGCCGCACCAGCGCTCGCTGGAACTATCTGGCGCCGCGCTTTTCTTCTGTCTCCATGCGACAGCCTTGTCATCTGGCGCTGGAGTCGGGTTTTCCCTATTTTGCCCTTGCTGCTGTTGTTCGTTGCTCGATTTCGCTTCGAACTTTGAACTTGGTCGTTTCCTTTCAACCAAACCCACTCAAAACTTTTGTAAATTAAATTTCTTCATCTCTAACTTATTGATCTATGTAACTCCTCTCATCTTGGAAGAATCTCATGTGTCATATTCGCGGTTTTTCGAAAAAATCCTGGAATGTTCTTGCTTGCTAGGATGTACCTGCATTTATATCTTTGACTATAGGACTTTGCTAATCTCTTTAATTATCTTAGGGTTGACCTAAGGTTTAGTGTTGCTTGACTCATTGACTTGACATGACTCAAGGTATAAACTTGACTCGTTGTGATTGACTCGAGGTTGACTCGACTCGAAGTGTTTGACACATGTGTTAGACTCAAATCAAGGTGATATCACTACGTGAAAAAATGAAATTGGCACCGGCTCAAACCCG